GGAAATGGAAAGGAAGAGAAAAATGATAAATTTTTACAATATTTTTGATAAAAATTTAAATATTTTTTATTTTTATCAATTTTCGAAAACATGGGAAAACGCTTTGTTACATAATAAGGAGTATTGTATGATTTATAAAACAAATTTATTTTTCAAGCCAACTGAAATGGCGGAATTGTATGTAACGTTTCCCGGAATTGTATATAACGGTGTACAAAGTCACATTTTACTTTATCTCCTCCAAATATTAATATTTTTAAATAAAATTTTACATACAACGAGTTAAATATATATAATACACAACAAGTAAGAGATACAGCCTAAATATATCTACTAAGTATCGCATTAGAAGTTAATCGCATTTGTACTTTTTTCGCAATCCAAGCCAAAAGAATCTATTTTTTAGGCCGGTCAAAGTAGGAAAACCTCTTAAACATAAACAAGCCCTATATAGCAGAGACATGATTAAGCAATGACTCGTGAGAATTGCAAAAGTTGATCCCGAGTCATTGTCAATAAACGACGGAGGATTAAACTTGACAAAATCGTTTATCAAGTAATTATTTAAAAGTTTACGGTATTCCTTCGATTCCCGGTCCATTTTAGATTTACACTTTGGATTTTGATATCGACAAAAAATGAAGTATTACAAGCAAGACCGAAATCATAAAGGCAATTGAAAATCGGAAATAAAATTATGTATGACGTTGATATTAGTTTATCATTGAACTTATCATTCAATTTCTATTTGAAATGATGTCTAGTAAGACGTAAATTGTCGTTTACACATAACCATTACTTACTTACATATAGGATAACCATCATTTTTTTATTATCATTAATATCATTGACACAAACATGTTAATATTAGACATCAAAATGATGTGCGCTTGCTCTCTAGGTATGTTAAACAGATTATTATAAGTAGAAAAATAGTGATCAGTTTTATATAATGATATTTCAATAAAACAAAAATTATAGCTTACAATTCAAGAGATCCGAATTCGAGCTCCGGCCGAGGTAATATTTTTCGCAATAAAGTTATTTACAGATTACAATTATTTTCAATGTTATTCAGCATCATTGAGATTCTGAATCTTTTTAAGATGCCTATGAATATCAAATTATTAAATTGTTTAATTTGTCATATTGCTACAGTAGTTCGAGTTGCGTTTCAAGATCAACAAATCATTTCGAAGCACAGTTTAAATAACTACAATATGTACCCAAGCAGAACAACAAGTCATGATGAAAATAACATTAACAACGTAAAAATAACATTAAAATAAATCGGAAATGAATGAAAAGTGACTTTTAATTATCATTTTGGAATCATTTTGACATCATTTTGATATCATAATGACTTATTGTTCTGTTTGGGTGTGTATACACACACACACACACACACACACACACACACACACACAAATCAAAAGAGTAGCCATTCTTGAATTTCGGTATACACAATAACCTGCCAGAATTATTTGAAGTCCCATATAGTCTGATGAAGTTAGATAAAGTCCGATGAAGTCCGATGAAGTCTGATAAAGTCCGATAAAGTTCAGTGAAGTCCGATGAAGTCCAATAAAATCTGGTAAAGTCTGATGGATTCCGGTGAAATCCGATGAATTCCGATAAAATTCAATGAAATCTAGCAAAGCTCGATGAATTCCTTCATGAATTCCTCGATGTTGTCAATGAAGTCCAGCAAAATCCGTCGAAGTCCGTGACAGTCCGTGAAATACGATGAAGTCCGTGATAGTTCGTGAAGTCTGGTAAAGTCTTGAAGCTTGAAATCCAAGTATACATCTATTTTCTGAGATTACCCCTTCGATATAAATTCATACCTAAACACCTAAGATTTAGCTTAATCATTAAAGGCTTTATTCCCTACTTATGTAATATATCACATTTACCGGTCTTAAGAAATTCTTTAACAAAAAATTATTTTATCTCTAGAAAATATAAAAATTGCTTTCTAACTATTTTTTATTTGTGCAATAATTATATTAAAGTTATCACAGCTGTGATCATAAATTAATTGTTAAGACGTTAAATTATCATCAATTAAGGCTACAGTTTTCATTTAATACTTCCAATGCTCATCATTATTTTTTTAAACATTTGATGAACACCTCAACAGGATACGATATTATATGAATATCCTATGTATGCTGTAATCATGTCGAATATACTAATCATAAAATGTTTAATAGATTCTCACACACATGTTTTATGTAGTGTCAAGATATATTTAGAATATAGCAATTAAATTTTGTTATATATATACTGAAAATGTACTAAAATTATATTTGACATACTTAAAATATCTTTAAAAATATCATTAATGTACATCTTGTGTATAAAAATATGTATTCACATCATATATTCTCAAAATACACCCAGAACATAGAAATTAAACAATAAGTTGATTATCATATATCAAAACCATACACAATTCTGATTCCGATTTTCGACTGCCATTTCTTTTCACATTTTTGCATTATCGCCGTTCAGCACAGAGTTAAAACGTATTTTATCAGATGTCTTTTCTTTTTTTACTTAATAATCTATTTAACATAATATAGAAGTATTGGAGATATTTCTATAAGTTTTATAATATTTGTTAAATATACTTCATAATTTGTATTATAAAACTATATTATCGAATTGGTGTCGCATATAATCAAATTTCTGAATCTAGTTACGTTGCAATATATTACGGCAGCACGTATATCGCGATCAGTGTACAGTACATTTTGAAATATATCCATGTACATAATTAATTTTATGTATATAAAATATATCATATAGCATATAATAATAAAATAGCAGTGTAATTCTGATGCAATATCTGAATGAATATTAATATCAATATTACTTCAAAATGCTAAGTTATAAACTTATAAAGTAAAAAACAAAAAGTATGTATTAAAATGACATAACATAATCTAATTCACATAAACATCAATATGTAAAAGTGCATAATATGACAAATTGATATCGTTCTTAGTCTTTTTCCAGGTAGCACATACAAACGTTCTACGAACGTTTTATAATTATTAAGAATATTCCTATATTCTACGATTCTACTAAAAACACTGTCAAATTTTTGCGATATGTTTATAGTGTATTCCAATGGCATAATTATAAATATTCTATAATCATACGCGAATACTTATAGTTTAATATCTATTGAGTATTCTACTTTTTTATATTCTATACAGAATACTCTAAACAGTCTAAACGAACATTCTATGAATATTTTTTTTGTTATGAATATGAACACCTAAATAAAATATTCTATGTATATTTATGGAACATTCAATTTAAATGTTCCGAAATTAAGAACATTTGTATTTTGTAAGTATGCATAGAATATTTTGTGCTATCTGGGTTGGGACGCGATTAAAAATGTCTCATTAATGATTTTGTATAATCAATTTTATAACTATATAACTATTTTGTTATTTGGATAAAATTATCAATTATAAGTGCGAGAATATTTTGACTTGAAAATAAGTATGATCCGACATACGATTAAGATCTATTGAATCACGTATCTCTATGGTGGAGACACATCGGCTATTATCGTATACTAGCATTGAGACACGATGATGCGCGTTTCTTTACAATTATACAGTGTGAGATCTATTAATGTGCTTACATATATTCTGCATTTTGCTTATTTTCAATTACATTTCTGGAAGAAACATTAATGATGTTTGTTGTAATTTTGAACATCTAAGCAGATTAGATGCCGATTTTTTTATTTTGTCGTATTTATACTTAAATTTAATACAACAATATATTGATTTCTCAAAATTACTGCTGTCGACTACGTTTACATGCCTCGTTAAAACGATTTGGTAATAGTCGCGTTGTTTTATTTTTTTTTAAATGTATTTATTACATATATATAATACAAATATGTATATATTTATTGATATTATAATTTCTGAATTAAATAATTTATACACACATTATTGATGTGAAATAAATAAGAAATAAGTATTAAAAAGTTGAAAAATGTTGCGGAATTTTTAGAAAATTATAAATAATTAAATTAAATAAAATTAAGGTAATTCTTTACAAAAACTTATACAGCTTGGATGACTTTGACACAAACACACACACACACACACACACATCCTATAGTTGTTAAGACAAAATGGATCATGACCTTAATAATATATGTCAAGATCATCCTAGCTGTGTAAGCTTTTATAAACAATTACCAAAATCAAATTAATTTACTGAAAAGATACTGAAATATAGTACTTTCTTTATTACTTAATTTTTAATTATTTGATAATATTCTCAAGCGAAAAACGTTATATTTACTATACGAGGAACAAAAATGTTTAAACATTACATTTAAATGATGTTTATATTGTATTTATAATGTTATTTTATCAAATAATTTGCTTAATACTGATATAATTTTTTTCTTTAGTTAATTTTGAAAAGGTTTTAACTTTTTCTTTAAATCCATTTTTCATATAATTCTATGACTTATTTTAGTAAAAGAGAAGCTGCTGATCATTTTTTTTCAATGAAAGCTGGAATTATAAGCATATAGATACTTCTAGTATTCACATATTTCTTCAGAATTAGCTTTATGAATCTACATTTTTTCATTAGCAAGCTTAAAGTAAAATAATAACTATTGCATAAGTTACAATGTAAATAATATTTTAATATGTTACTGAAGGCATGAAAACGTAACCATTGATGTTCGAAAATTATAATCTTCGGAAAATCAAAAATTATAGGTCTAAGAATGTAAGAATTTAATGTGGAAAACCTCCATGAGGATACTGAAAATATGATAAAAATTATTTAATTTACGCATTTAAAAATACACATTTAATGATATCAGACTAAAAAATATATTATGATTATTGTAAATAAAATGTATATATAATTAAACTCAAAATTAAAATCTATTTTATTTATATACATATATAAAAATGCCATCAAAATTTTTAAGCTCGTTAACATTATTGATCACATTGTGCAATGATAGCCAATTATTATATATTATATAATCTTCTGATACTATTTCGTATTAATATCATTACATGAACGTTAACAATCGTTGATTATGTATTATTGTGATTCCTATATTTACATATACATATGTTTACTGAAATAATCAATTGTGCCGCTGTCATGATTAATTAATTATTGTTTTTTCATTGGTTTTATGAAAGATTAAGGACAAAATATTGGAATAAATTTTAACAGGCCTAATTGTATTATACAATTAATTAATCTGATACTATCGATGCTACCACAATTAGTAGGCACAGATAATGAATTATTATATGAGCATGTGTTATGCGATTGTCCGATGATAATGCAACTACATAATATAATGCCTAAAAAATTATTGAAATTGAGGAAGTAGTTACGATGAAAAATTGTATTTCGGAGAAAAATAATTCGCGTCAGACATCTTATAAGTTGTGGAAGAACTATGTCCACTCAATTTATTAGTTTTCTTTTTTTCCTCTGTCATCGATTTCTTCGTTTTGTAGGGACGTAGTATTAACATAGTTTCCTTAGATTGCTCCTGTACACGTATCTTTGATCTCCATGACTGGTCATCCAATTCTTTATTTTGATTCTCCACTACTGCTTCATCACGAGCATGTTTTTCCTCTGTAATAAAACATTTGTAACATTCCTATTGTATGTATTCGACAATACTACTGAAAGATTTTGTTAGAATAGAATTTCTATTTTTTACTCTTTACTTTATAATATCTCAATCTCCATTTTTATAACAGTGTTTATATAGAATAATATGTCTTAGCAAATACAAATATACAGAGTGTCTAATTAAAGTTTCGGGAGTGTGTAAGGGATCGATAAATTAAGAAAAAAACCGAGGGATAAGATTTAGGGAAGCCATTTGCGATGATCTTGACATGTTATAATGTAAGTATAATGCTATATCAGTAATTGAAGTATTTACAATGATCACTTGTCAAATTATTTGTCATTGGACAAATTAAACTAAGATTTTTTAGATTCGTTTATGAAAAAATATATTTTAACGAAAACTGATCATCACATTGTAGTTGGACATTGGAACAAGTTATGGTCAAATTTTAGGTCACATATTTTTCAAATTGTTTGGTACATATATGTATACCAAATATTTACAAATATTTAATACAAATTAATAATTGTTATTTTTGTTTTATTAATTTTATTTAAAATATAATTTTTACTACATATATAAAAAGATACGAAAAAATTAAGTTGTTTTAATTAAAAAAATCATATCTTTAAATAAAGATCAAGCCTGAGATACTTTATTAGACATTCTGTATAATGCGGCATAATTAGTTTGGTCTGTTGTACAAACCTTCAATATCACTAAATAGAATTCTCGACTTCCTTGAGACGCTAAGTTTTTTATCCCCTTTATCACTTGTACACTCTCTCTCAATGTTGTTATTGGTAAGGAATATCGATTCAAGAACCTGTCGCGAAAATAACGGCGACATCGGACGTTTTTTTGTACACACGTTATTTGTATTGGCTGAGGCATCACATGAGCTTGTCTCATTATCACATATGCTTGCTGTGGACATGCTGTCCGTAATCAGTTTCTCAGTATCCGAATCACCAGCATTGCTATAGTAATTATTACCACTATCGGATTTCTTTAGAATCGACTTTGATATTCGGTGTTGGTCTATGAATGGCATTCCACCACTATCTATAGAGTCCGCCGATAGCGAAAGCTTATTCTCCACGCTTGTTTCTGAAACAGATTTTATTACATTTCATTACATCACTTTACAACGTAACAATAATTCAATATCAATCTTTAACATCTTTAAGTTATGATTATTTTATTTTTAACATCGTACAACTTGCATTTTCTTACAAATGTCGATATTATAAACAGTCTTTTGAATATATTCTATTACACAAGACCAGAGTAGGAGACTGACGTCAGTTTGCGATCATTTTTGGTCCACGATATCGACGGCAAATGAATGTTAATAAGATGTCATTTTTTAGACTATTTTTATAATCGTTAAAATTGCGCATTGCGATCTACCCTGTACTCTCATTAGTGCCGATCTTTTATTTTTATTAATTTTGAGAAAAGAAAGTACACATTTCTCTTACAAAGTATACGAATTTTAATAAGTTCGTATTAATTCCTACTATCCTATGTCGATGATCTAGAATTTTTAATCCAAAGTATTTTATGAAAGACATTGTCTCCTCAATAAAAATGCACGATTTAGTTTCCTTATTTTTAATTCTAGATTTTCTAGAATTTGATAGATTTAAACAAAGGATACTATGGATTAAATTAAATTTGATTAAAACCCAATGTTTACCTCTATAATGCTTTGGCGCGCCAAGAGACCCAAACATGTGATAATTAATTATACGTGTAGCGGATGCCAAGCTATTTGTTGACATAAGCGGGGAAGGTTTGCCACCACGTAGCCCTCCATAATGATTATTGTTGTCTTCCGCAGCAGTATCTTCCTTTAAGATACTGCGCATAACTATACTCTCTTGATCACTAACGAATTGCGTCCGTGGTTTTATGCTCTGCAATCATAATCATCACAATATAATTAAATATTATACTCAAACTTCGATACTATTTTGCAGAAATGAAATGTCACGGAATCTCCCGTTTTTTTAATGTCATATATTTAGTCATGTACAGAGTGGTTTACTTAACTTGAAAATCTTAAATATTATATTTATTTTAGATGATAAAAAATGTTTTTGATAACAGTGAAATAGTTTTGATTACTTTGTTTTTTGTACGTCTGCCTAGCTGAGCCCACTTAACCAAGATTTTGGAGAAATTAAAACCAAATTTTGAGAGCGTATAAATAACGCATTATTATATTTATTAAGATACATTAAAATTTGATTAAGTGGAGGGGAGGCTAGCCAATTGTGTTTTTTCTTTAGATTGAGGCGCCATATGTATAGATAAGAAAATTCACTTTTTTAGATGTAATTATATGTAGATGATTTTTTACATAATATGATTTCTCTCTTTAATTATTCTATACGTAAAATTATTATCAAGATAGAGATATCGAAAATTTAATAGTTTCGAATTACTTAGTTTATTTTTCGGGTACCCGGGTAATACAAGTACTTGAGTATTATTCGTGGGTTTCAAGGAGAACCTGGTATTCGGATTTCTCGGTCCAAATAGTATGTACTGGGGCAGTTAAAAAAAAAGTTATTTTTAGTTAAACTTTAATTAAACTAATATTATGCAGAAAGTTTAAAATTTAAACAGCTATATAACTTTATGAAAGTAAGTCATGTGATCATGAATTGAAATTCAGTTAAAAGCTCTTGAATTTTTGGATGTCACAAATTCTTTCATTTTTTTTGTTATGTCATAGATAATAATATGAATAATCGCGCATATCAAGTAAATAAATATTTGTGTAAATAAATACTAAAAGATACTTTAGGATAAATACATATATTAATTTTTAAGGGACTCACTTGTTGGATTCTAATTTTCCTATGTTTGGGCATCATATCATTCAGGTTAACTTTACTGGCCTCCTTCAAAGATTCAACGCTAGGCAATGTTTCAGCGATGATGTTTCGGCCAACCTCACCAGAAATTGATTTTTTCATCTGACTTGTTTTGAATTTTTCCGTTGCTTCCAGAGGATTTATGTAAAGATTACTATCTGCGTCTTCAGTTAAATCACCCTGCGGAAATGAAAGAATTGTAAAAGTATTACCATAGTAGAAGTCTAAAACATAATTTTATTATAAAAATGACGAATCTTTGCATGTATATGAATAATTTATCTAATAATAATAATAAAAATTACATCATATTATATTATATTAAGGTTATAATAATAATTAAAAATTAATGATAATTAATAAATTTTAATAATGATTAATAATAATTAATAAATTTTAGTAATGATTAATAATAATTAATAAAATCTAATAATGATATTTTACTTTGATATTAACGTTGTTTATTGATATTATATGAAGAAATTATAATTAAAATTGATTAATTTATATGTAACATGTGTTACATATAAATAAATAAAATATAATTGTCATCTTTAAAGATCTTTTAATCAGAGACTAGAGAACAAAGATTTCGTCAAATTCCTCCGAGAGAGGAATATAGGCTATCTCGCGCCTCCATCAATGGCAATGTGTATACATGATGTATACAGTCTAATCATCTTTAGGCTCTGCGCACAAGAATATCCCTAATGCGTTATATATAACGTTAAGTATTGATCATAAACTGAATCTTGTATGTAATAGTAAACTTACATCCCACACAAAGAAAATCATAACTGAACCATTACTAATGCTAACATTTTGTGAACCTTGCCATTCATCAGGACGAGGAACACTGAGTTACTTCTCCGGAGAATTCCCTTTATATAAATTCTGTTGAGAAGGGAAGTTGGAAGGAGATGGATTATTTGAGTGTTTCTGGATTATTAAGGTCTCCCTGTACTTTCTTGGAAAATATGATGCCGTTGTAGCTATAGTAGTTGTTTTATTTAATAGTAGTTGATGTCCTGATTCAATGCTGTGTTCTGCCAATGCTGATTGTGACTATGCGTAGATAGTCTGAGTTTGTTTATACGTGATGCGATCTAGGATTTGCTAAATGTTTTATCGCAATATGAAAGAGAGGAGGTGGAGCTGAAAGAATTTCTGAGAAATCTTGTCTATTTGTGTCTTAGTGAAATCCTAAGAAATTCCAAAAACTGAAGACCTCTACTCAGTTCTGCAAGTGAAACCAGGAGAACGGTGCGCATATAGGAACGGGATGTCAGATTGAAACATATCACACAATCAAATTGGAAGAACACAGCACTGAGGATATCAAATACTATTTTATAAAACTATTATAGCTATAACGAAATTTTCCAAGGAAGTATACGGAAGCTGTAGAAATCCAAAAACATCAAGAGACACGGCAGTGTCTCGTGCCAAATATACGCGCCCGTACTAGATGCAGGAGATCCTACAGTGTATCTTTACTCGAACCGAGTGAAGTTGAATTGACTGGAAACTCTCTATAGGTCATATCTAAAAAACGGCTACGTGGACGAATGGTGCTTTCCAACAAGGACATAGTCAGACATAGTGTAACACAGTGAATCATTACACTCTTGTTGTTTGCCTACGTTAAATAAGGAAATGACTCTGTGTTACATAAGTGTCTAACTGTAAAGTATCCTTGCTGGAAAATAGCCGAAATTTTTAATAGACTCAAAGCTTGAATAATAATAAGAGAATATTGAGAATAATAAGAGAGGTATTTCAATTTTCTCATTTTTACATAAAAATGAGATAAAATTTTATTAAGAAATGTTATCGTCGTCGTCTAGTGTCAAGTCAAATCGACAATTAGTATTCAAATACACTCACACACACTTCCAAGCATCCTCCACACCCATACTCACGTATCTCTCACGATCTTACCCTCCCTTCCTGTAGTATCTCCTATCAACAATTCTTCCTATATGTTGCATCTTCTCTCTGGAACTTTCTCCCCATTTCTATTTCTTTATTGTTTATCTAACTGACTTACATGTCTTGATCGTTTCATTGCCATTATGTTTACAATAGTCAAACTGTCAACACGGTTATTTATCATTTTTGAACGGTTCATGTGAATTCTTATTTTACTGTTTAATTTATTACTTTATAATGCTTAATATATTTAACTATATAATTTTATTGACATGACACAGTAAACCGGATGGTTTGATAGAACATTTGCGGCAAATTAATTTTTATTTCGACTAATTTTTGTTCATGTAAATATTTTGTTATGACATGATTGTCTTCTTATAAAATTTCTAATTTGTCATGATTTTTATCTAATAAATTAGAATTTAAAGAATATATTAACAAGATGTAAACGTAACAATTATTTCTGACCAACTTCCAGCGTATGATCATATTAATTCATTTTTTTATATACTAATGTTTTTTTGATAAATTTTATATTTACACGTCTATCTGCGAATACATTAATTTTATGATTTGGTGTTATTATTATACTAAAGAGGAGCCAAAATGGAATTAAAACGTATTTATGTATACGCTTTTTTGTTATATTTAATATAGAATATTTATATACATGTTAATAACTTGTGTTGGCTCCGAAAAGTTTTTATTATTTTTTTTTATTTATTCGTTAGAGCCTAAATTTATACACACATATATATATTCATTTTTCACTAATATATTACTGCATTCATAAACAAAAAAATAATTTATTATTAGCCATGCGACTCATACCTGTGAATGTGACGGATGTGTTTGGCAGCTTGCATATGTATCTGAACTGTCGATGCTTCCCTGTTCATTGTAAGTCTTTGCATAGTGATACTCCTGCTCGTTGTACATACTTGCGAAGCTTAACGTTTCCAATGGCTGAATTGGAGAGACCTTTGATTCCATTAGTGATGAACTTAAATGTTCTGCGCCGCTTCCACCAATACCATTGCCGCTATTAAATCTAAGGGACCTCATTTCTTGACACACTGGGTTACGAAAGTCACTTGTAGCAAGGGGCATTATGCTCTCCGCGTCCGTGAAGTCTTTGTATTCCTAAAAATACGAAATAGATGAAAAGTCTCGATTACACGAAAGCAAAGAAAGTTGAAAGCAGTATGCTTTTGCCTAAATTCTACGTAGCTTTATAGATACTGACTTTTTTGTCTAATCAAAGTTTTCTCTTAAAAAGTAATAATTTATACCTCTGTGGATTTCTGTAAGTTTCTTCGAATCGTTTAAAGTCCATTTTGTAAATGTTTTTCAAATATGAATTTCTAAAATATACATACATTCTAGAAATATATCTGGAAAATATAAATATACTAACTGCTCCCTTATATATCTTGGATTTTATTATAAAAATTAACATCTAATTCAAAATTACTTCTCTGTTTAAATTATGAATATACTTGTTACACATACACACACACACACACACACACGCGCGCGCGCGCGCACATATACATACATATCAGATACTTAACTGTTATAAAAAAAAGTTATAGCATAATAATTATATCTTTCTTGAACGATTTTAGTTATTAATAATCATTATAAATAATTACAACTATTTTTGATTGCGAATAACCATTACTGATGTCGGAAATTTTATTTTTGATTACGAATATTATATATAGATGACTAGAATTTTATATTGGTTACGAATAATCATTATCAATAACCAAAATTTTATTTTGGCTACCCAAATTTCTAAACTATACAGACTTTGTTGATGGTTACTGGCAAGCAATATCGATAACGAACATCTTTTCTGGTCACTATTGGTCCTCGTCAATTTTATTATTACTACGTATATATAAAATTAATTAATAAAAGATAAATATATTATTATTTATCAAAAAAGAATAAAATAAAAGATAATATGTTTTAAAATGTTTATATCTTTTGTACGTTTCTCTGTATTTTTTATTTCTTTTTCAGAAATCGGTACTTTATCAGTACCGGTTTCTGTAAGACTAACTTAATGGTACGCGGTACGTGATAACTAACTAGAAAAAAAAAGAATATTGATAAAATGTGCAGAGAAATAAGTTCATACATTAAAAAAAATTTATATAAATATTAATTTATCACTAATTGGCCCGGTCAGTTTTCCATGCTCCATGTAGATAATAGGAAGGAAAAGAAGCAAATAGCACGAAATTCGGTGATGCGGCATGATCGATGTCGTGGTTAAACGATTTCAAATACATAATCAAAAATGAACATGGGTATATTGTATATACTACAAATGAGAGAAATAATTTCGTAATTTGTAAAAAAAAAACTTTTTTCGCGTTTTCATCATGGAGATTGCAAATAATATTAATGGCCATGATAATACTGTTAAATCGAGTAAGAAATCGGACGAAGTTATATGTAGAAATTATCAAATTAATTACCTATAGTTACTTTATCGCATTCCGCGTATCGCGTGCGCCACATCTAGGGCTAGTTTCACCAACGCCAATTATTTAATCGGCGATTAACTGATTAATCATTGATCCCTAATCGTATCCTTATGGATAAATGGCCATCTAAACGTCTGTAAGCATACTTAAATTTGACTCCATTATCTCAAAAATTACTGCTTAAAATAAAAAAATTCAAATAACTTTTTTACTTTCATTTTTCGAAAACTTTCTTGATATAATATTTTGAATCACAATTTTACATCCTGTATATACAGTGAGTGCAAAAAGTATTCGTACAGAGAAAATATTTTTAAAAAAAACTTTATTTAAAAAAAATAAATATTATCCAGCGAGAAATGAGTCATCGAGTTGATGTCGAATCAATCGATACGTTAATTTCAACACCAATTCGACGTCGATTCGACGTTTAATTGACGATCATTTCTTGCTGGTTAATTAATAATTTATTCATAAAAAATAAAATAGATTATATGTTTCTTAAAATTATATATATATATACCAAAAAGATGTGTATTAATTATAGAAAATATATCATCTGAAAAATAAGCGAAAATTAAAAATTCTATTGTTTGAATGTTTAAAAAGTATTCGTACAATTGAGAAATTTAGCTTCTAAAATCAGAAATACATGCGAAGCTCGTTTTTTATGTTAAAACAAAATATATTCATTGTACAAAATTACTAATTAATGTTTATTTTTTACAAATAAGACTTTTTTATAAAAAATTTTCTTGTACGAATACTTTTTGCTCTCACTGTATATACATACAGAAAAAAATGACAAATCGCAGATTCACAATTATAGTCTTTCAGAATTAAGAGTTGGTCTATATCAAAAAATGCGCTTATCTTATCGCACTCATTTGCAATGTGATTTTATAATGAATAAGAAAGCCACAGAATGTTGTGCGTTATCTCCCTCTTTTGTTCTCTCTCCCTCTCCCTCTATCTTTCTCTTCCTATCTCTCCCTTTCTCTCTCTCTGCTCTTGCTTCTACATAGATAAAAAATAATTTCTATCGGCATTGTCATTATCTACTGTACTCGCCTGATTGCTTTCGCATGCATGGAATATGCGCCAAATCTGCAATACGGTTGTCCATATCTACTTAAGAAAAACCATTTTGTTGCTATTAAGATTTTCTTTTTGAAGTGCTATTATGTTATCACATTCGATTGAATACAAGAGATAGAATCCCAGATGACATACATGTCCGAAAACGAAACATAAAACGTCTTAAAAACGTCGTAAAAGATATTTCAAAGACATTTTTTAAATATGTCATAAAGACGTCTAAAGACCTCTTAAAAAACGTCTCGATTTTAGACTTTTCTGTTATCTGGGGTAAGACCGTTCAAGAATACACACTTTCTCTGTCATACTGTACAACTTATATACGAATCCGAATTTAAGCAATAAAATGCTGCTTAAGCTATACCTTATAGTTTGAATTAAAAATTTTTCAAATATTAATTTAATATAAATATTTATTTTTACAGAAGATTAATTGTACTAAAAGATAAAAATGCGTACTCTTAGACATGTGTCATCATCTACAGATGATGATAACGATGATATCTTACAGATTTTCTAACAATTTGTATTTGTATTAAAACCTAAATCTAGTGAAAATTGGATCTAGTGCCAAAGCTGTTAGGTCTAGATCCATTGATTATTGGAATCGAACGTGGCGTCAGTCAAAAACTTACTTGCATGAATTATGCAAGTAAAAAAATACTTTAGATATTTATAAAAAATTATATTCAATAAAATATAAATGATAAGCTTATAAATATATAAGCGATATTTTTTTCATATCCCTGCGTACTCTTGAATCACTTGTCGAAGAATATGCATTTTTCACGGACTGAATTAAGTTTTCAAGTGCGTGCTTTAAGATCATCTTGTTATTTTTTTATTTTTGATATAATCTTTATAAAATTTATTTTTGGTATAAAAATTATTACAGAGATATAAAGTAAATATATCATTAAATGCAAAGCAGAGACGTGTATGCACACAATATATAAAAAAAAAAGAAAGCAGCAATTTCACGATAGACATCCGACATGTGGTAAGAAATAATGTTGTGGCTGACATGTAGTCAGGGGTGGAGAAACTTTAGTCGCCTATGGATTATGCTGCACTAGCAGAATAGAAGGATGGCAAGGAACTCATGCAATAAATATCTATCTCGTGAGTTCTGACTAAAGTTGAAAAAAAAAATGAAAGTTCCGAGGATGAGAGTGACCATATACTACGACACAGCAACAGAAATCGCATTCGTTCTTGACCTTTTTCGACAGATTGCCTTTGAATCGGTTCATAATCTGATTTATGGCCACAGCACATTTGCATAACGCATAACGTATAATGCATAAGAGAATCAATCGGTTCCTTTTTTTCATGAAATGAAAGGAAAGGAAAGATTCTGATTAGTTAATTCTCTTATGCACTTATGTGTACAACAGTCTGTGCTATGGTCTTTATATATAGAGCAAAAGTAATAAGCTTATGGCACAGCGTTATGTCTGGACGTTTATGAAAACAGATTGTCGCATTTGGGATAGTTATTGCGGACTCTGCCAATAACCCAAAGTAATTCGCAATGTTTCAGCATTATTGGGCAAGTTCCGCACTATCCGGCAGATTCAAGCACGTCCATCTAGATATTATTGTAATACCTATTTCGAAGAATATTGTCTCGTTTGTGTTGACTATTTCACACGATGATCCGAGACACTCCCTATGACAAACTAATCCTGATGGAAATTTTTTCCTGAATTGTAATGAATAATGAAATATTACTGAAATTGAAACGAACAATGATAAAATATTATTGAAATTGTAATGAATTATAATGAAATATTACTGAATTTCGTATTGAAATCTATATCAATTGATCATGCACTTTCAGCAATATTTCATTAAGATTTCATTACAATCCATTAAGGTTTAAGATTTTATTTACATAAAAATACAATGCGTATACACTCGTGGACAATGAAGCTGCAATATTTTTTTACGAATGTTTTACGGAATGCGCAAAAATGTTTAGAGTGCATTTATATCATATATCGATGCTTGTAATGAGCGATTACAAGCACAACTGTTATATTAAACTCATATTATGAAATTAAAATCATATGAAATAGAAATATACAAGATGAAATCAAGAAATGTACGACGCGACATACATTTAAGATAAATAATAAGTAAAATGCCTTTGCGAGCCACCGATTGAAGAGCATAGAAAAATAGTATAATTAAACTTCTCAGTTTGATTAATAATGAAATTTATTCTTTGAAACATTTCGATCCTAGAGCCTCCTCAGTATAAACAAATTGACACAATTACAGAGAATCTCTGACATTATCACATGATGTGATTTATCACATTAGTCATAAAGTTATCAAACAATGCAAATCTATGAATTGATGACATTCTTGAAATATAATTAAAATATTAAATATGAACCTAGAAGAAAGAAAAAGCAAAATTAAATTCACATCAATAAATCTGAAATATCAAACTATAATCTCTTCTTCGATCTACAGATAGTCATCTTTCCTCATAGAAATTGTACAACAAATAGGTTGTCATCTCTCCTTATAGAAATTGTAATAAATCAAACTAACAACAATCATACTGATAAAATCATACTAAAAATAAGTACTAATAAAATATTTTTCATTTTTATATGGAAAACCCAGGGAGTTATAGAAAAGTCAAGGGGTTCTAAAATTCATTTTCTCTAACAATCTTGGATATACATCGTTGCATATAAGCTAAATCTATAAATTTCGGATTACACTTTAAACCGATAATAAAAATTCTTACAGTTAGTGGCTCGCAAATAATCGTAAGATGTAAAAGGGTCTCATTCGAGCCGCACACTACCTAGATGATTGTAAAATCATACGGTAGACAGCTAAAAAATGAGCCATAAAATTTATTTATCGGGCTATAAACACGGTACTAATACTAATAGGGATTGCATTGTCACTAAGACTTACCTTCACAAAAATACAAAGCGGATATTGGAAACTGATACTACGCAATATCACGTTGTACGTTATCATGCCAAGAATTTAGAGAAAATCTATTGCCTACGACATGTTCTTCGAGACACAAAGCATAATTCATTTAATCACTATGAGATATCGCAACAAGCAGGCTAGAAAATGATGATATACCGATTTACCCCGCTATCCCGCTTTGCCTTAGTCTCTCCTAATGAATATATACTATTCTAATTTTTTAAATAAAACTTGTTTTTAATGCTATATTAGAAACTTAATTTATTAATATTTTTTAATAATAATAATTGTAATATACTAATATTTTAACAAACATAAATTTCTAACAAATTAACTTCAATTTGCAATTATTAAAACTAAACTTTTCACTAAAGTTACTCACCCAGGAGCAGTATGCAGCACCGCCACCAGATGATCTTAGTGGAATCTGTATTTCTCGTAAATAAAAGAACATCCAGAATAAAATAAAAGATGCATTGTGAGATTCTTCATCCATATTTTAACGAAATTATTTCTTGAAGGCAACCCTTGGTTTCGAAATGAAAATAAAGTTTATTTTGATAGTTTCGTTAAATTTTTTTGTAAAAGTTAAATCAGATGTGTACTATTCCTGGAAATTATATGAAATTAAATAAATATTGAATCAATGTTCCTGAGTATCTTGTGCAGTTCAACAGACATTAAGTGTCTATAATATCTTTTAATTTACGTTTTATAATATTGCAATTCAACGTTTCTGAAATGTTGCTTCAACATTTATGTGCTGTATGAATAGAGACAGAAAATAAAATATAATTGATTGGATCCAAAGATAACAACTTTAATCACATTGAATTACATGATGAGTAGATTATCTGCTTGAATTTGCCTAATGTTTTAAAAATTCAATTTTGATTCAATTTTTAAAATAAATGTTTTGTAACACTAAATGTCTCTAAAATATTCCAAAGATATCGGAAGCTTTAATTCGGATATTTAAAATATTTAACAAATAAAATATTCAATATATGTTTATTTTTAATGTTTTTTTAATATATTTTAAACATTACTACTAACTGATTATATTCTATATTATCTTATTTGTATTCTACAATTTTGATAATAGATATCTTCCTCCAATTTTTAACCTTTTTTAAGAAAAATATATATGATCCAATATGTGAATGTATGTGAATGTGTTTTTGTATTGAATGTATGCGAGTGTATGTGTGCATGCATGCATGCATGCGCGCATGTATACGAGGTGTAGTTATTAATATAACGGACTGATCATCATAAATGTTGGATCTCTTTCCGAAACCATGTCGAGCTTAAAAATCGAGCAACGAATTAATTTGGAATCAATTTTAACATAGGTAGGGAGTATATTGAAAGGGATTATAATTAAATTGTTAGATTTTTAAAATAAAGTACTTTTTCATACCACCATCCTGTTATTTTAATAGCCACATCTCATATATATTGCGTGTATTTACAAGCTTATATGTGTAGAAAGAAAAGAATTCGTACATGCATGTATGCATATACAGGATGTAACTAAAGTAAGGTAATAAATTTATTATCCCTACATCAAAACATAGAAAAACATTCATGTGAACGTATGTCCGCAAATTCACTATTACTGAGATATAGTTCAAAATGTTTGCCTCCAGTTCCATTGCCTCCATAACCCTCGATCTAAAAGTTTAGTCTGTGAAGACACTTAAAGTTCTTAGCTTATGAACTTTCAATTGCCAATAAAGATATGCTACACCAATGCATTTTTTATACTTGACGTGCAATTTCCCCAGGATTTCTGAAAGAGTCCATGATCTGACGTGTTCAAACATGTATCGAATTAAATGGGAAATACTTCAAACATATATTATAATTATAATTAAAAATTGAAAATAAATAATATTAAATAATAATAGATATTACTTTTTTCCCCTAACAAACATTTTGAGCTGTATCTCACAGTAACAATGAGTTTGCGGAAATATGTTCAAATGAACTTTTTGTCATGTTTGATGTAGAATGTTCGACCCTGAAATTTATCATCTTATTTTAATTACCCTGCAGATAGATAAATGTAGGTGTCTCTACGTTTTTAAAATATATTTAACTTTCTGATAAATATCAAAAGAAAATATATTGTTTAATTTTGACACATGGCGTAATTGTTTCGTGGATAGAAAGACACAATGCTTTGATCTAAAAGAATTAATTCTTAAGAAGCCTTTACATGGGAACATTAAGCATCGAGTTCAAAAATTCAATCTTTCGTTTGAAAATTAAATCACAAGTGCCTATCGTGTCATACTATCTGACGATGGAGATCAATTTTGGATATTTGAGCCCTTGTAACTCCAAAACTTTTATTCGGCCTGCTGACCATTGAGACTTTTGATTAGTGAGTCGAAACCTACGTCAAAATTTCAGCCAATTTCGGGATGCCATTTTTTTAAGAAGTGTTCAGGGTTTTTTTTAGTATTATATGTTAAATGTAGTGTATATTAGAACTAATCACTCTTAATTTATTCATTGTGCATTAAGAAACAGGAATCAGGAGATTCAAAATCATGCATCAATGAATTTCTGTGCAAATGCTCAACGCTTGATGCTCCGATGTAATGACACCTTTAAGTAAAGAAAGAAGGAAAAACGAATTACGGGTGCTTTACTAAAGCTTTTAAGTGAACCGTGTTCTATTAACGAAAATGTTATGCTTCGTTAAAAGAAATGGTAGGAGAGGCAGTGCATACACCCAGTGGACTATATAAGTAGTGTGAACATCGTATAGAAGGCGTATAGAACGATATACATATATCTTGATTTCGAAATATTTCAAGAAGTAAAGAGAAGATGAAAAAGTTCACATTTTGTTCGAAGAGCCGGACAAAAAATTTATGTCCGGATGACAGAGAAATGCAGAGTGAGAAGATGCATACGTTAAATGTAATTAATTTAAGTTTTAATAACCACATGTTGGTACTATGGACTCATTAACAGCCCATTGGTGTATGTAGTGCCGCCAGAAGGAAAACGTTAGTGGTCGTAAATACCTTCGTAGTACAAAAGCAACACTCGAATTCACTAGGTAATTCATCAATTTTCTCGAATTTTCTGCTGTCTTTTTTCTCTTCATCCTACAAAAGGTCACACACACATATATATATTTCCTGATTTAATTTTCATAAATAAATACACAGCTTTCGCTTCAGAAACGATCGAAATGTTTTATAGCCTCTTCTCTTCTTTTAATGTATGTCTCTATCTTCTTTTTCTCTTTCATGATTCTTTCAACTAAAGTGCTGATGATACAATTCGATCGATTCAAAAACGAGCAAAAATATCAATAACTTAATATCGTTATAAAAACGCGAATAATTGGACGCGAGTGATTGGAGTTAGAAGATCAGAATTTTCATATCACGAGACTGAGATCTATCCACGATCATAATCGGATGTACTTCTCGTGTGTATTTGTAATACTGAATGACTTATGTGAATATGTACCTACCACTTTGTTAATTCTTTTGAACGTATTTCAGAGAAATGTACTATCTCTCTTGAATATTTCGACCAAACAAAATATAATTATAAACAATTACGAATAAAATTTATATAAAATAAACAAGTGTCAGTTTTCAAATGTTGTTAAACTTTCTTTTCGACGATTATTTATATCTAGACAGCATTAGTTTCAAGTCAATTGCAAAAAATTAATAGAAAAACTTCAATATTAAGATCACGCACATCGAAAAAGAAAGTTTTTATAACTTTTCTTTAAATTATTTGAAAGCTTGAAAATTTCTCTTTATAATGCGTTCTTATAAATTGAGCTACGATCTTTTTTACCAAGTTCTTAACTTAATGTTATCAATACATTTTCATAACTTTTATCAATATTTCTAATGTGTCGCCAATATTAGTATTACCGGGTGACACCTAAGGGCTTCAGCACAAGTATATCTGTAACTGAGTCGTGAAACGTGAGATGTCGTAGGTCAACCTATAACTATGATTCAGTTACAGTCATTTTTGTGCTTAGGCTTTAATTTGGAGCGTAATAAATTGAACACCGCTCGCAATTGGATTTTTTTATTAGACATGTTCAGAGGATAAAGACTCCATGTTGATTTACGCAAGATGCTCACTGATCCAGCAGCCTTATATTATGATTGTTCAGCTGAAGTCATTTTGTGTGTGATGACTCTTAAAATTGATTAGATATAGAGTTTGGTTACAGAATATATATAATTGAACACAGAGCATTGAGCGATCGAATATCACACGATTGAATCCTGAACACATTAAGTGTGTCAAATCGAATAACGATTAATTATTACGTAGTCAGATGAAATACGCCTGCATTATTCTATATGCAAGGTATAGCATACGTAGAAATGTATTAGGTCATTTAAAAAGTATTCGCGGTTTTTTGTTCAATTTTTGAATGAAAAAACCGCGGATACTTTTTAAATGACCCAATAACATGGTTGGGCTTATATCTCATATGTGCGACTCGATTTGATAAATTCTGTCTTAACGTTTTAAGCATACATTTTTACGATTTTTAACTACAGAAATATACATAAAAACATCAATTTTTTTCATACCCGTCACACTAGAAAATCTCCTTAAAAGAGCTACGAGTAACATCAACGGTATTACGGCTACGTAAAAATGACATATAAATATTGTTGTGCCCACCTTCAAACATTTTATTATGCTCTTAGCAACAATGAACGCGTGGACTGTCTCTTGACACAAGACATACGATTCGCGGATCTTTTTTAATTAACTATCTTGTATTCTTTATTTTTTCTTAGACTTATTCTTGGAATCACCATTATTGCTACTATAGTTTTAATTTAGTAAATTAAAGTAAAACAAAAAATGAAAAGAGTTGAAAAGAACAAAATATAATTTTAATATTTTAAATTATATTTATAATTTTCAAAATTTAATATAGATTTTTTATTTCCCATTTTTAGCAATTTATCTTGAAAAACATAACTCTCCTTTTATTTCTTTTTCTTCCCCTCTCTCCTTCTCATTCTTGCTCTCTTCACTCGTGATACCACAGCTCGCCCTACTAAAAAAAAACATGTCACAAAATTGCATAATGAAACCATATAATTAAGACAAATAAATCTCGTAACAAATTATTCCACAATTAATGATTTTTTTTTTATTTTTTTATTTGATTTCATAAATCATGTAATTTGAAGAGTGATGGATGAAATTATTTCTAATATCATGTGATTTTTCAAATTATATGATTTTAAAAACTTACATACTAATTTGAAACAATCTATTACTTGTCTTAATTACATGATTTCGTTATGTAACGATTTTTCGACATGACATGATTTTTTTCAATAGAGCTCAATGATGAACTATCTTGACACATATGTCGAACTGAATTTTAAATTATCTCGATGTATTTGTGAATGTTAAAATGAATTCTTTTCATTCCCAATGCGTTTTTATTAACTTATTTTTAGGAATCGCATAAAGTACATTTCTATGCCTTTCGATCCAAAAAAGATTTCAGATTTTTTAAATGCATCGTGAATACTGCTCAATTCAAAATTCTGAATAGGAAATGTAATTTTTCAATCTAATTGAAACTAGAAAAAGTTTTTCCATTCAATTGAATCTAAAAAAAAAATAATAATAAAAATGGACATAAGTACTACCAAAATACGCATTCGGATGATTCAAATGGATTAAAATTTTAATCCATTTTAATCCATTCTCGTTTATTGGATACTTTCAAAAGCAATTATTTGCTTAAAAAAATCCAAACTACAGAAGACTGAATGGTTATGAACATCACATTCTTATATATTACTACGCGAATATCATATGCACAAATATACAAATTTTCGCACTTAACGCATTTTTATATCGAATTAGATATCTAAGTCTAATTTTAAAGCTGGTTCTCTGTGCAGCATAAGTGTAACTTGCGTCAGTTAATCAAATTGTTTCAACTATTATAACGTGTAGTAGAGACAATTTGATACAATTTGATTGGCTGATGCAAGTTACGCTCACGCAAGTTATACCGCATGGGGAACTAACTTAAAAATTTAATGTCTATTCATGTAAATTACTACTCTGTGGACGATAATTTCGTAAATACAGATTACAAAGCTTTTATATCAAACAAATGTTAATCATAACTTGACAGCTCAAAATGCCATATTTGATTGAGAAATGGTAAAAATTTCAATTTCAAAAATTGTTTCCGTTCTCGGCATAAACTCTATCTCCCAGACACGTATTAATGTATATACTTTAATTTAAAAATGCATCACAAATATTAAATGCATTCAGTCAATAAAACAGACGATTTTAGGATCCCTTTAAGGGTAGCCCCTTACATACGTATATTTTCTGTGGCTAAACTAATGTATTTTTAGTACTTAAACTTTTAGTACTTAAAGTGAGATATATGTTTAATGTATGATGAAAATGAGAAAGAGAATTCCAGTATAATCTAATGCAGGAATAAAAACAGATCTCATAAGGAAAAGATGGTATTATAGCCAGTAAACAGTACATGGCTCTTTTAGTATCTCTGTAAAAATAAGTCGTTTATAAAATGTTTGTGGTATATGTCCTCTTTATGTCTTAAATACTTTACATAGGTTTTCAGCCACAAAATTGCATGGCAATGTCCAAAGTTTATAATAAATAATTAAAATTTCAAGAAACCTTATTATTTATTATTATATGTAACAAATAAAATGCACAGTTATTAGTATTTTTACTTAAAATAAAACAAGAAAATTGAATTACGGCATAAAATATAATTATTACTTTTAAAAAAATTTAACCTGCCGGGATTCCAACTTTCGTCGAACGGATAAGAAAAAATATATATTAGGTATATGTATAATAACTTTGTGTCTCAGTCCGCAACTACATCGCGCCGCTTTCTTATTACCGACGCATAGTTCTAATACCTATTCTACAACTGATCGAACACTCAACTTTAACTGCAATTTTTTCTCAGAACAAAGCCCTTTCGAAACCCTTTTATATTGTTAGTACACTTAACCTCCTCTTTCAAAAGAGCTATGGTTCATCTCATTCGGCAGTTTACAATTCTTGCCGTCTTCTTGTACGCAATCAATATGCAGAAGAAGTTATGTGTACGTATATACACATTTGCATATATTCTGCAATATTTTATTTTTTTTTAGTTTGTAACCAAATACTGTCTTTTAAACAAAATTTTTTTAATAAAACTAATTTTTTAAATTTATTTTTGTAAAAGACCATCCTACCACCCCTATTTCTCTTCGAGTTATGCAGTTTCGCTACATTTTTATAAATAGTCTTAAGTAATAAATGTGTCGTAAATAATAAATGTTTGAGTCTACATTGACTGAACAATACTTTGACGAACGTAATTGCTATGTTTTAAATTTAAATGTTGATTATTAACCAAATTATTATATAAAATGTAAACAGAGTGCCATTTTTTTCTTGACAATTTACATGTCATTGACACATCAATACATATTATTATAATACATCAATAGCGCACGCACACATATGCATAAATTTTCATAACGCATTTTCGTATCAAATTAGGTACTAAGTATCCTAATAGTAGTTCTAAAAACTCGACGTTGTTTGTACATATAAACTACTAGTCTGTGAAGTACAATTTCGTACAGATTGCAAACACTCATATATATCAAACGTTATCACGATGTTGATTAACATCATATTGGACTAAAAGCTCTAAATATTATATTGGACTACAAATGATAAAAGAAATCTCAATTTCAAAATTATTTTTTCCATTCTCGATACAAAAATGCCACCTCACAGACCAGTGTATCTATATGAAATTATCTAGATAGTCTAAATGAAATGGCTTCATCTTATACAAATGATACAAATTCAGGCTCAAGTAAATATATCAGTACAATAAAAAAGCCTCTCAGACCCAATACAAATTATTAACATCTATAAAAATTCATATTTATTTAACGAAACGTTTTAAATCTTGTTTTAGGTCCTTCTCAATATATAATTATCTCACATAAATTATTAGCAAATCTTACAAATACATTTAATCGAAGTCGTTAATTCATTAGTTAAACATTGGAAAAAAAAC